AGTTGAGGTTCAAACTCCCACATAAACTATGCAGGTACTGTTATGTAAGAATTCTCGAAAGGGGATTGCATAAGCCAAACTTTAGATGCTAAAAGCTATGTTAGTCGACAACTCATTATTTTACAATAAAAGGCATTTACAACAATGCTGTCACACGCAGAGTGAAAGTGTATAGTGTGTACTGACAACTTGGAAATTCTGACGCAGGAAATTAAAATTAAATTTTCAAGCAGTGCAGCTACTGAAAGATATTGCAAAGGCAGGCTTTTTTAAAAAGATTCATAACATGGTCTTTTAGTATCTAGGCTGAACTAACAGTCACATATGAGTAAAGAGAGCATATTTAGTTATTTCTTCTTGGTCTGGGAGCCATATTCATATTTGCTATGAATTATCAATCTGTTTTTTTTTAATTAATTTGCTAATGAACATGATAAGTTAAAAGACCATAAAACACTTCAGTTTGTCACCAGTATGATAAATACAGGTATATAGGGCTACATTTTGTCAAGACAAAAGTGTAAATGTTGACCTAAACGTGTCCTAAAAACGGAACTGTACTGTGTTCAAATACTGGCAACTTATATATACACTGTAGTGAATACAAAATCATACATAATACAAATAACCTTCCAAAGAGAAAGAAAGAGAAAAAAATGTGAGAGTGTGAGAGAAATGATAAAGACGGAATGCCCTTGGTAGTTGTTTGCAGAGGGGACAGGCTTCATTCCCCTAATTATTATTATTGTTAAACAACAATTCTCACAACTAAGCAAAATAAATAAATAGGTCTAGACTACCATTCAAAAGTTTGGAGTCAGTATGATTTTTATAAAATAAATTAATAATTTTATGGAGAAAAGAAATTATTACAGTAACAATAAAGACATTTATTCAATTTATACAAAACATTTATACAAAAGGTTTATATTTCAAATAAATTTTGCTTTTTTGAACTTTCAATTTATCAAAGAATCCAAAATGTATCAGTTTCTGCAAAAAATATTAAGCAACTGTTTCTACATGAATTGAGCACCAAATCAGCTTATTACAATGATATCTGAAGAATCATGTGATACTGAAGACTGGAGTAATGACTGCTGAAAATTCTGTTTGCTTTTAGAGGAATAAATTACACTTTAATAATTAATTGTAAGAGAAACAGTTATTTACAATTTTAATAATACTTCATAATAATACTTTTTACTGTATTTTATTTTTTACATGCTCAAATAAATGCCGTGTTAATGAGCACAATAATCTTCTTTTTTTTTTTTTTTTTTTAAGTTTTTAAAAATTACCAATTCTAAACTTTTTAATGGTAGTGTATTCATATTTGCTAGGAGTTATAAATCAATCAGTTGTTCTTTGATTTGTTCACTAATGAACCACATAAGATACATGTTGTATATATACATTTATACAAAACTTGTCTGATACAAAAATAAATCACATAATGATATATATCATTCCTACCATACCTACTCTACTCTCGGCAGGGAAAAATGGCAATAGCTGAGCAGCATCACAGAAAAAACCTAATCCAGCAGACAGAACAGCAGACAGCCATTCAGCTGCTCCTGTCAAGGGGTGTGCCTCATCTCATGTCACATACTAAAAATACAACTCACTCCACCACACAGCCTAAACAACTGTACATAGCACTGCTCTATCTCATCAGAAACAGTTGTAGACAGTTTGCAGAATTGCCCTCTAATCAGGTCTATGCACGCATCAAAGTATTATGATCCTATCCTTCCTTCGCTTTAGCCGGATAGTGGGAGATTGCATGTTAGACATAACCACAAACCACAACTTTAATGAACACAACAAAGTTTAAAATGCACCAGAGTTAATGGGAAGAGCACAAACACAAAATCTAATCTCCCAGGGGCAGCTGTGTCCATAGGAATGAGTCCAGACATGGTTTTTAATAGCAAACAGACTGTACTAAATAAAGGCAGCAGGGGGGAGCTGGAGTTTTAGCAGCCATAAAAATAACAACGTCACTACTGTTAGCACAGCCGCCATACAGCTTTTCACAGTCCTAACTACAATCAGACTGACAGCAATATTTAAGGCATAATTAGATAAGCACAGTGTGGTTAGGTTTGAGCTCAGAGGGGCTGCGTCATACTGTTATCTTTATAATAAAAGCAATTATTAAGGCCTACTGTCTTGTTTTATAATGTAAAATTGTAAAACATTTTGAGTAAGAGTCCCTTTTCAAAGCGTCACTAACATAATTGTGTTCCATTAACACAAAATAATTGCAATGGCTAATAATTGTTGCCATGGTAACTGTTGCTTAGCTCTTGTCACGCATCACAAGGTTTCCAAGCCACCTCTCTCTCACACACACACACACATCCACACAGAAGCCAATGGATCCACACAGTTTCATTTGTTCATTGTTTACAAGCTGTGAATGAGTCCAGACATGGTTTTTAATAGCAAACAGACTGTACTAAATAAAGGCAGCAGGGGGGAGCTGGAGTTTTAGCAGCCATAAAAATAACAACGTCACTACTGTTAGCACAGCCGCCATACAGCTTTTCACAGTCCTAACTACAATCTGACTGACAGCAATATTTAAGGCATAATTAGATAAGCACAGTGTGGTTAGGTTTGAGCTCAGAGGGGCTCAATTATTAAGGCCTACTGTCTCGTTTTATAATGTAAAATTGTAAAACATTTTGAGTAAGAGTCCCTTTTCAAAGCGTCACTAACATAATTGTGTTCCATTAACACAAAATAATTGCAATGGCTAATAATTGTTGCCATGGTAACTGTTGCTTAGCTCTTGTCACGCATCACAAGGTTTCCAAGCCACCTCTCTCTCACACACACACACACATCCACACAGAAGCCAATGGATCCACACAGTTTCATTTGTTCATAAAATCACAAGTGGATTTATAAAGTAGACTGAAATTAAAAACAAATGTGGAATAAGCTAGCTAAATGACATGGAATAGTTTGGAAATGACATATTCATCTGCCCTACATAAAATGTGTGAAAGCTGGGAACACAGAAGCCTGTTGTATGTGACCTATTTAGTAACTTTGTGGTTGGCACTATAAAAAATTAGCATGAGCTCTCAAATTTAACATTGCTGTGTTTTCATTCAGCTGTTGTGGGTGAGGCGCTAACACCAAGACCAAGTAAAACTTCCTTGCAACTTCCTAAATAACTACAGAAAATAAACATTCTCTAGTTTTCACTGAAAGGTAACCTAAGGCATTTTATAGGCTTTTATTAAAATCTGCACAGTTATCTTAACAAGATAATATTAGCTTGTACATGTGGAAAGTTGGTAGCTAGCCTAAAACATCTGACTAAAACCATCAGGCTATAGTTTTGCACTTTATTTCATTTATATACAAAGCCTCAAAAGCCACATAGCTCAAAATACCATCTCCAAAATAAAATAAAGTTAATTCACATGCCACAAACGATATGTATCACAGCATTGTATGGGTTGATGTCTAAAAGCGGGTTTAGTACAGCAACACAAGTTGTCTACAGAGGTGTTTATCGCACATTACCAAGAGCAAAGGTATCTTAACTGCACCCATAAAGTCCTGTGTAATCTACTTCATTCCTTACAATAACGGAATTTAACCTTCTGTCAACACAGAGCAAATCATTATCATCAGGTGTCAAATAGAGTGAGCAAGCTAGCAAATTTGAAAGAATGAGAGACAGACGTCACAACACACTTCCTTCCATCCTCCCCCCCCACCCCCCGGTCTTCCTACTGTCCCTCCCCCCATCTATCCAGTGAGATCATCACAAACCATCTGTAATTAACATCTCTCCAAATATCCACAAGGCTGTATCCTCCAGCAGTTGACACTGTTAGTAAAATTCAAAAAAAGAAACATGTAATTTTAAACAGCAAAGGAGGTTTAGCAGAACTCACCCGAGATCAGTACCCAAAGTAAAGTGTGCGACTATTTCTTTTAGGTAAGCCACTCAAAATTCCTCAGGCAGCCACTTCACACTCCCTCTCTCTTTTATTTCTCTGTATCTCTCTCTTTCTCTCTTGACTATATCTATCTATCTACACACACACAGAGTAATATTCTCAACTGGATCGGCCCTGAACTATGGCTTTTGTTCCATACTGACAGACCTCTTGGTATGACCTCATGTGAGGGCGTTGGTGCAAATAGCAAACACATATACATGCTTAAGCAAGACACGTGCACACACACACACATACTGACAGCAAAATTCCTTTAGTCCACATCTGTGGCAAGCAACAAAGAGTGGGCCGTTCAGGGATACTGGGACAAATGCACACAGTCAAAGTTTCTCTCTCTTCTTTCCCCTCATTCTCACTCCCTATCACTTTGTCCACCACTCTCTCTTTGCTTTTATCTTTCTTTCTCTCCGGCTCCGGCATGTCTTTCTAAATGAGGTGCTAGGCTAAAACCTCTGACTGACAAGCACCAAGTGCTCCACTTTCATCTGTTGCGGCTACTGCAACAGAGCAGATAAGTGAGGGAGTGGGGAGTAATGACAAAACGAGAGCAAATAAGAAAGTCTCCAAACGGAAGCTAAGTGTACATTGCAATACTCCATTCTAAACACGTGTTCAAAATTTTGGACAACCATGTAGTAATTACTTATTTGAATAATGCCTGAAACTTGGTATTATGAGCACTTCCTGCATCTGTTTGCCTCTTTAAGATGAATCGCTTGATGTATTCCCCAATTGTAAGTCGCTTTGGATAATGAATAATGAATAAATGTAAATGTAGTAATTTGGTTCACTTGAGCAATGAAACAGACAAAACACAAAAAAGTGACGACCCCAGATGCAATGCATGACCCTTCTATCAATTATGTCGTTCCCTGGACCTAAACACAACTACTTTGGCATCCTGTAGTCTAAATTAAGGGGAATTTCTTTGCGGCAAGTAGCAACTAACTCAATAACAAACAAAGGAAGTGGTAAATAATTTAATGAAAGTGCATAAGGAGGTCTCACCTGCAGTCTGGTGGTTCTTCTGGCTGCTTAGTAATAGGGGTAAAACTCTCCTCAGGTGCAGGGGGGAAACTCTCCTCAGGAGCAGGAGGAAAACTCTCCTCAGGTGCAGGGGGGAAACTCTCCTCAGGAGCAGGAGGAAAACTCTCCTCAGGTGCAGGGGGGAAACTCTCCTCAGGAGCAGGAGGAAAACTCTCCTCAGGTGCAGGGGGGAAACTCTCCTCAGGAGCAGGAGGAAAACTCTCCTCAAGAGCAGGAGGAAAACTCTCCTCAGGTGCAGGAGGGAAACTCTCCTCAGGAGCAGGAGGGAAACTCCCCTCAAGTGCTGGAGGAAAACTCTCTTCAGGAGCAGGAGGAAAACTCTCCTCGGGTGCCGGGGGGAAACTCTCTTCAGGAGCAGGGGGGAAATATTCTTCAGTTGGAGTTCGGAATTCTAGATCAGTCTGAGGAGAACGGAGGGTCTCAAATGGTCTAGAGAGAAAATAAACAAAGAAGAAATTTTGCTCAGTTTGTCTCAATGAAAACTCCTTATAGCCTGTATGCAAGTGTATGTGTGGCGCTCAAATATGTGAAGCCCAGTGTGTGTTTGTGTGTGGGTATGAAAGGATTCTTTCTTGCCCTAAAGGGCATGAGTTGATGTCACTGTTGAGGTCACCCTCAGGAGATAATGGGCTGTAGTACTTGTACTTGGCTCCATTTTCACTCAAAACGTCATGTGAGAATAAAACATACTTTTTTGTACCTGTGCCAATGAAAAGCACTACATTTCTTTCTACATATTTGTGAGTGCAACAAAGTAAATTTCCCTCACGGTCTCTCATTTTAAAAACAAACATCAAATGAAATGTACCTGTTTTCTGTAGATCCACAGGTAGACTCATCTCTGTGCTCTGGAATGATCTGAGACATGGAGGCTGCCTCCTTCAGAGCTCTGAGCCAATCAGAACCTTCAGAGGAGTTGACTGCATCTGACCTCTCAGGTACAAAGACTGCACTTAGGATTTGGCTATCTGAACTGTCGATAACCTGTGATATCTGTTCTGTTCCTGAACCCAGCAACACATCTGCAGCTGTTGACACCTTGCTGACTTCATCTTCAATAGCTTCCCTGTCATCTTTCTCTTTTGTTTTTTTGATAAGAAGGGATTCTATGTCTCCAGGAGAGTAATCTGCTATGTTTGGACTTTGCTCACTGCTACTTTCAACTTTCTTTGTGGCATTTTCACGTAAGTTTTGGATAAAAGACTTAGTGGGCTGCTGACTACACTGTTGATTGACTGCAGGAGGGGACTGGAGGGAATCCTGGGGGTCAGTCACCAAGCAGATAGAGGTCTCAGGGTATAACAATGACACAGCCTCTTTCATTTCTGTCAGTGATCCATTAGAAACTTCTTCAATTTGCTGGTCTACATTATCGACTATTGCTTCAACAGGGGAAAATAAAGACTGCTCCTCCAACTTGCTTTGGTTTTCTTTGGAGATGCTTTCTTCTATTATAGACTGTGAAGACTTGGGTTCAGCCCCTTTGGACAATTCTATGTGATCATTTTTAATGGCCTTGTTCTTTTCTTCATCCGCCATCTGTTTACTTATCTCTTCTTGAATTCCTTCTCGCTGTTGTACGTCATTTGAAATGGTGTCTTCTTCTTTCATAGAACTGATTGTGTTTTCAGTGTCCAAACAAGTTCTTACATGTTGTAACTGCTGCTCCATCCTCCAGGCAGCTGTCTCAGACTGGGGAGTGGAATTAGGAGTGTTAGGTTCTAGTGCATCTTTAGGGGCCTGATCCACACTTATCTGTTTTTCCTCTTTAATACATTTTTGGAGCAAAGAAGCAGAAGATGTGGTGGTGGAGAGCTGGCAATCAGAGGACTGAAAAACTAATTCTTTCTCTTGCTGAATTTGGGAAGTTCCTGCTGTAGACATCTGTGCAACATCACTCATTGAATCAGAACTGATCTCAGTGTTTCCAGTGTCTACAGGGGTAACGGAGTCGAAACAATTCTCTTCTGTTTTTAGTCCTGCTTCATGGTGTGAGAGGGTGGGAATCACAGAGAACCCACTTGAGTGATTTACAGGAAATTCTGAGCCTTTCTTGGTGTCAGGGATTTCGTTCCACACATTGCCATGTTCATCCACGCTGACCTGTGATTTGGTACAATCTGCATGTTTACTCACACGTTCCTGTGATGCTGAGATGGCAGGCTCTTTTGCCTCAGTAGCCTCTATAACCCGTTTGACTTTAGAAGTTTCAGAAGCTGATGATGCTGTTACAGACAAGTTGGGAGCTGACTGAGTTTGGATTTCATTTGAAGTGCTTTCACCACAAACAGGAAATCTCCCACCATTAAGATCTATTGTTTGTATTGTCTTCTTTTCATTCTCTGGACATATATTGAACACAGCAACATCTTTGTTATAGCCCCCCACCAGTGCGGCACTCTCTGATGTGCTGTTTAGGGATCTTGGAGCCTCTGCACTACAATACATAACCACCTTCTCTTGCTTTTCACTTGCCTCAGCATTTGCATGATTATTGGTCTCAGCATTTTTTAAAATGTTGCTTTTACTCACACTTAACATTGCTTCTGGGGCACTCATGGAGTTCTGTTGCAGACGGAGCTCTCCGGATTGTGAAAATGCCAAATCTGACTGGCTCAAACCCCTTGGATATTGTGTGTGGCTTCTCTCGGGAGAAGCATTCACCACTGCAGACAGGGTGTGATCAACGACTGGAGGAGATTTTTCAGCCCCTCCACAACTCAGAGCCTCTTTTATAATCCCTTCAAAAGTTAAACCAGGATCAGGCATAGGGCTAGACTGCAATTTTCCTCTTGGAATGGTTTCATCTAATAGTTTTTTTTCTCCTGATAGATTGGAGAGATTTATTAATGTCTGATTTTCTCCTTGTGTTTGATCAGCATTTTCTTTTGCAGCAGTCTCATTCTGTTCTTGAGATGTATTTGCACTTTTTTTGCTGTCCTTTTCTGCAATGGATTTTACATTTTGTACCTCATTTTCTTGCACAATCTCCCTGTTTTGCTCTCCTCCCATCACCTGACTGAATCTTTTGGATACACTTTTATTCATTTTTACATTGTCAGACACATGTTGAACAGGTTCCTCAGTCAGAAGTGTAGCGAGATTGTCCTCCAAGTGCATCAGGAGTGAATCACATTTGATTTCATCATTAGGACTTTGTTGCATTGTCAAAGCAGATTGAGAATTAAGTGTTTCATTAGCACAGGATGTTTCAGATAAATTTGTCTCTTCTTTATTATGCTTCTGCTCCTTAATAGGCATTACTTCTTGTTTCTTCCTTTCACCCTGCTTTTCATTTTTTTGTTCAATCCCTTCTTCCTGAGAGGAACTGGTTTCATTTTCTGCATTGAATTTTTCTTCGGTTTCCTTTACACACTCCTTGTTGTCCTCTCCCCTTTTTATGTGCTTGAATTCTTTAGACGTGTCGTTATTAATTACCTCATTTTCTGTAGTAGCATTTGTCGGTGCATTGCATAAATCATTTTCATATACAGAATTTAAATGTCCTTCACTCTTCTCTTTTCTAACAACCTCCAATGCTCCAACACCCTTAGATCCGTCATTCTGTTTCATCTTTGCATTTCCAACAATATCTGGGTTCTTTAACACTAGCGGTGAATCACCTGCCTGTTCTGGTCTGTCAGTTGTAAGCAAATGGTTCCCAGATGATGCTGCAATTTCCTGTGTGGAGACACCAACAGAGTAAAGCAGATCATCTGCATTTTGAGATCTTAACCTCTCTTCATTCACATCCAGTTGTTGATTAAATTTGTCTGTAATATTCTTAACAATCTCTGTGTCAGAATCATACACACAGTTCACACTGCAATCCTCCAAGGGTCCTGCTACAGAAATATCACAGTCATTAACGGACTCACAGTGACTCAGCATTGGGCCTGGAGCCTTTAGTACAATGACAGACACATCCCTGGCATCACTGTAAGTGCTTTGTGTGGTAGTTGAGGAAAGATCCCTTTGTGCTGGTACTGTAGTCTCCACTGCAGGAAGAGAAGGGACAGTTTTGTCCCCAGCATCTGCTGCATCACTTTTCATCATTTCATTACTGAACTGTGATTCAGTCTGATAGGGCAGCATGTCGTCACACTTATCTGCTTTTGACAGAAATTGCATCTCTGAGATTGTAGTAGGCTGCTCGGTGTTGGATTTCTTGTCTGGTTGAGTGCAAGGGCACATGCTGTCTATGTCTGGGGCAGCTGCTGGAGACATGAAGCTGGTTTTTACCTTTGACTCAACTTCACATGTGTATTTTTCTGGGTTTGACTCATGCTCTCGATTATCATTCACAAGATTCTCTGAATTACCTGGACATGTTAGTTCTATATCACTTGCTTCAGGCAACCCACATCCCTTTGATTCATCCAGCTTTTCCTTGATGGTAAGTAGAATTTCTGTATGTCTTTGTTCAAATCCTTCAGACTCAGTCATATCAGCCCGCTCACCATCCACAGCAGGGCTGCTGTTACGACCCTCTTGTGGAGATACATCCGGTAGTAAAACACTGTTCTTCTCAGTGGATGCTGACTCATCTGTATTATTTGGAGTGATCTGAGTAACATTCAAGCATTCTTTATTTTCTTGCTTCTCTTTACCTAATTCAGTTGCTTCTAGAGTTTCATTAACCACATCCTTAGATTCATTAACACAGGTGATCTCACCTGCAGCTGACAGTGATGAAACAGGATTTCCCTTGCTGACATCAGGAGTTTCATCTGTCACTTTTCCATCGTCTTCACATCTACTCATATTTACATAAATATTTTCTCCAAGTTTTACAGTAGTATCACCCTGTGTTTGAGATGTACTGGTCATTTCTCTGCAGTCCTTTGGCTCTTTAAATGTCATTTCCACTTTTTCTCTCTGCTTTCCATTTTTTTCATCTTTACCTTCATCTTCAGAGGCAGTATGTTCCCTTTCAGCTCCATGCAGGTCAGTATTTCTCTGGCCAGTGATCGGTTCTGTCTGAGGAGGAAGTGCTGGTTTGCTGATGCTGAGAAAACCTTTAAAGTTGAAGCTAGCCTCTTTTACTGGATGATGTAGACTTTCAAATACCATCAATGGGGGCAAAGAGGCACATTCAGTCATTTGGCATTTCAGTGTTGTATCCTTTTGGTTCTCAAAAGAGCTCTGCATACCTTTTGGAGACCCTTCCACTTTGGTACAACTTGCGGCGATATCCCTCATGTTTACTTGTAGTTTAGTAGATTGAGATGTGTCTTCACTTGTAGGAGTTATTTCTTGTTTTTGTTGCTGTGTCTCTGTCTTGACGGATGTGTCACAGCTTGCGGTTCTAGTCTGTGAAGAGCTCTGTACCTGTTGATCGTTGGCTTGCGCAAAGAGACATTCGTTTTCTAAAGAAAATGCTGGTGGGAGTGATCTATCACTGCCTGGCAGGTCTGCTCCTGATGCAATTGGGCTCGGATTCAGATTAGCTTCTTCCTCCCTCTGCGCTTCTGCCTTTGTAGAGTTTATGTGGGAAAGAGGAGGGGGTGGGCTGATGGAGTCGCAGTCGTTTATTCTGTTGATGGTCAGAGGAAATGGGGCTGTGCCTGCTGTGACAGGATGGATGAGGTCACTCTGGTCTTGTGTTGCCGTTGGTGATGCTGTGATGCGATGGGATGGACACGTCTCGGTCGCTGCCTCTGTCTTGGACACCCTGCCGGCATGTGCTGTGTTCTGTGCTCCGCCTTCGCTTGCCTTTTTCCCCTCCTCTTCGCTTTCTTCTTTTCTCTCCTTTGATCGGGATCTCTCCACCTTCCAGTCACATGTTCCAAGGACACATGGAGAGGAATAGGTGACCAGAGCTTTGTCCTTTGTGCCGACCGTGCCTGTATCCTTGTCTCCGGCTGGGGAGAGTGCGATCGGCAGACCCCCACCCTTACCCTCACTCTCCGTCGAGTTGCTATAGCTCTCCTCAGTCGCCTCCTCTTTCTGAACAGGTGAGCACTTAATGTCTGGAAAAATTACTGAGGTGCATTCTTGTCCCTTTTCAGCTATAAATTCACTTAATGTTTCCTCTGAGCTTGGAGACTCATCCACTTCCAGCACTGCCGATTCTCTCACTGCTGCTTGTAATATTATTGCGGCACTTTGGAACGCATCACCGCTCTTCTTCTCTCCCTCGCTTTCTATCATTTCTGGCATCGTGGGTGTTGTTTGTGGCAATGTGGAGGCAGTGGACTCTGCTGACGCCCGTTCAAGGGCACTCTCTTCTTCCTCCTTCTCTTCTGCACCGGCTCGGCTCAAAGTGTGTGAATTCCCCCACAGTGGGGCATGTGCGCCAGCTCCACCGCCTAAAAGAGGTCCATTCTCCTGCTCCAGTAGATATGTCTCTAAGTCACATCTCCCTATGGGCTCATGTTCAGGGGCTGTTGTAGCTTGGCAGAAATCAATCACAACAGCAGACACATTTTTCTCATCTTTGACTTCCCCTGTTGTACAGTGGTTGTGGTGTATGGTTTCACCTTCTGATATTGATTTGCAGGGTCCATCTGTCTGATCCTGGTTATCATTTTGCTCAGGCCCCTGTGGAGAGTCCAGTAACAGGGCAGGTGGAGCCTCAGCCAGGGAAAGATGAGCTTTGGGTTCTGGAGGTGGGGAGCAGATCAATTGTTTACCCTCAGGACTCAGCTGTTCTGGGAGTCCTAATTCCTGTCTTTGATCGTCAAGGCTTGATCCTACTTTTGTGTTTGTTTCTATCTTTCCATTTATTCGCTGATGTGTCCCTGACTCCACCTGTTTCTGTATGTTTGGTTGTATGCTTATTTTAGCTTCTAAATGCACTGTGTGACCAGAATGTTTATCCGTATATGTGGATGGGCACGCCAGTAAATCACTAATTAACTGAGTATGTGTCTCTATTTTTATTTCATCTGAGTTCTGAATCATCTGTGTAGCTTTTTCAGAACTTCTGACTTGTCTGAAGTTTGAAGACTGATTTGTCTCTTGAATTATTCCTGTTTCTCTCTGGGTTGTCTGTGCTATAATGTTTATTCTGTCTTCATCTTGTGAACTCTCACCCTCCAGGGTGTTTTTCAAAGAGCAAATATCTTGTATTGATTGATCCTGGGTAAGTGTTTCCTTTTCCGCATCAATTTCGGATGTTGTTTGTGTACCTGTCCATATGGTATGTGTGTTTTGTTGACCAGCTATGTTCTCAGCTGTGTCTATTTTTGTCTCTATCCCTGACTTTGTTTGCTGTTCTGCCTCTGACAGCTGGCTTGCTTCTTCACTGTGGTTTTCTGTTATATCCTCAATGTTTTTGACAACCTCAGCTCCAGCTGCACATGTATTACTTTGCTTTCTTTCTAGAACATAATCTCTGAAGCTAAACACCCCCTCTTCACCCGCTGATGAGTTATTTGTGTGCGCTCCATCATTTCCATGGCAACCTTCATGAAATTCAGCAGGTTTATGTGAAGATGAACCAAAATCCTTTTTGACTTCAGCTTTCTCAGTTTGATTTTTCTCATCACTTACAGAGAAAAACCTGTCCAGATCACCTGCAGTCCATGTGTCTGAATGGGAAGATATGCCAAGAGCAGCCATTTCGTCTTCACATTCCCTTAAAGCTTCCTGGAGTTCATAATCCATCTGGGCAGCCAAAGGATTGAGGGCTGGAACATGTTGCTGGGATTCGCTAGACAAGTGGGCTTGGGCCAGTGATGCTGTCTCAGCAGAAACTTGGTCACCATCACAGCTATCAGCGTTCACCAAAAAAGATACATTAGAATAAAACTGCTCTGAGAAACAATCAGTTGTTCATTCCACACCAAGCCAAAGCACTCCACTCCACCTCATGCCAGAGACAGGATGAGAGTTCATGCATAGGCACAACTAAGCATTTTAAATGTGTAAGATACAAAAAACACACACGCACACAGCAAAAAAATAATAAATAATAATCATTATTCTTAATCAGTAATTTGTCATCCTAAAACAAGGTAAATTTTCTTGAGAACAAAATTGCATGATAATAAAACTTTTTTTCAAGAATATATCTAGAATTACGATTATTTTTCTTACCTCAGTGACATTTAGTTTTATTTTAAACATAAATCTAACAAATTTTAGTGTAATCATTTAGTGAATTAATCAACTTTATTCAAGATATATTCTATGAAATTTGTATTTTTTATTATTTACAAGTACATTTACTTTGTTTTAAGGATGTAATTAAATAAGAAACTAAATAATATTTTTCTTCTGTGTAAAAAAAAAAAAGGTTTTACTATACACAGTGCCATGATTATTTATTTATTTACTTACCCATTTATTACCACTTCATTTCCTCATTTCAAATTTATGAATAGTATAAATCACTTGCAATCATGTTTCATTTCCATTGAGATTAAAATCAAGATGCTGAAATCTTTTTGCAAATTTAGAGAAATGAGTGTTAACTACATAGCCTGAAGTCTTATGGACTTAGCAGAAAATCACATGCTGTTTTAGAGAAAGGTTAATGCTTCAATGCTTTTAGCATCCATTAAGGACCCAGTGTAACTGACTACCTATACAGTACGTATGACAGAACAGCACCAGCCAAAAAACTGCTACATGCTTCTAACAACCTTATAACTGCAGAAAATATAGAACCTGGTGAACCACTGTGACTCTGCATATCACGTTTCAAGAGCTGAAACACAGTCAGTGACTAACAACCCAATAAAGTAGCTACAGCTGATCTAATATGGCAACCATGCTTCCCCCACACTGCCTGTCTCACCTTAGTGTGCTTCTTTCTGTGCCTCCAGGGGAATTAACAGAACAGAGACAGCTTAGCTAACAAATTTTTGCCTGTCATTTTAAACAAAAAAACTATCAATCACCTTCACCTTAAATGGAAACAAATGAGAAAGCAGATTCTCATGGGTTTCTCTCTGACTGGACCACAGCACTCGTGTGATCTGCCAACTTGATGATATAGATGACAACAGGCTCAACCATGCAGCCTTTTTCTTTTTTCAGTAAATGATTATGACTGGAAGCTGCCACTCCCATTCAACGTTTATAACTCTTCTCTGGCATAACTGGAAATTCAGACAGCTGTACTGCAGTTTAAGTTACAGCAATTATGCTTGTATGTGCTAAAACTTACTTGAGGCCTTTTGGCATACTGTATGTCTGAATGAATTACAGAACTGCAGCCACTCCCTACTGCACTGTCAAGCAGAATTTCAATACCCACAATCCTCTGCCCTTCCCTGAGCACTTCTATTGCCTTTCTAGCAAAAAAACACAATCTGAAAAGAATACATAAATATTAATAAAAACATAAATAGTATAAAAACATAAACAGCTGACTCTGACAGGATTTGGCTGTATTTAGCTGAGAGAAACTAACATGAAGTACACCCTTAAACATGTCAAGTATGTCAAGTATGAATGTAGATCTCATCTGTCTGTGTCCGCACAAGTCTATGCAATTGCAACCAGATGTAATAATGTGTTGATAATAACTCTCTCAACAGGAAAAAAACTAAACATACACACACAAAACGACCGCAAATATACACACGCCACACTCAAACATGGCTTTCTGTAAAGGAGGACACCTCTCACGCTGTATATTGATCTAGTGTGGTAAACCATACACTTTCACCTCATGCGTGTTAAAGAGTCATGTCAGCTGCCCGATCAAAGCACAACCAAAAACAACGCTAGTTTAGTTCACAGCAATCCAACTCAACCAGCTTTAAAGCCAAACACGTTCAACAGACCACTAACCCAGCTAGTACAACTATGTCTCTCTCAACAGGAAAAAAACTAAACATACACACACAAAACGACCGCAAATATACACACGCCACACTCAAACATGGCTTTCTGTAAAGGAGGACACTTCTCACGCTATATATTGATCTAGTGTGGTAAACCATACACTTTCACCTCATGCGTGTTAAAGAGTCATGTCAGCTGCCCGATCAAAGCACAACTAAAAACAACGCTAGTTTAGTTCACAGCAATCCAACTCAACCAGCTTTAAAGCCAAACACGTTCAACAGACCACTAACCCAGCTAGTACAACTATGTTTTTCCAGTTGTGAAAAGTTTGTAAAAACATTTTGATCCTAAATACTTAACATGACCAATGATGTATTAAAGTATATAAATAAAATGTTTATATATTTTTAAAAATTACATATTTTGTGTTTACCATTAAATAAGCAAGCTGTTTCTGGTTGTATTTAGTTCATAAACATTACTGTATGTTCTGTAAACATAATATTTCTGAAGACATTTTTGAAGCCTGTTTCATTTAAATGCTGATTATTACATTATATAAACCTAAACAAGTTTGGCACAGTTTTGTTCCATATTAGTAATAACATAAAAGCATACAACATAAAAATAAGTAATATATTTCAAATACATTTATTTCATACTAAGTATAGTTTAAATCTATTAACATATTTACTGACATATCACTCGAAAATTTTAATTAAACTTTATTTGGAGTACTACTTGTGTACAATGCACATTTCATAATATTACGCATAAAATGTGTTTTAATGTCACTACTGATGAGGATTGTAAGATCTTTGAATAATATCGGTCTTTAAATGCAAGATATGTAAAGTGTACCTAAAGTATACTTGCAATAGCTCCACTTTAGCACAATCAAATATACTTAAGTATATCTTTAGTTGGACTTCAGCACTACTTCCAAACAATTAAAATGCATTAAGTACAAAATTAGTTGTCCAGTTTAGCAGACATTAAGTATACTATTTTAGTTTACCGAAAGTACAATTGCAGGGTATTTTTATTAAGTACATAAATATGTAAGTGTATTTGTAGTATACTGAGCATGAAATAAATGTATTTCAAATACATTTTAGTATATTCATTTTTCACTAGGGTAGGTAGATATGTTTATGTTTCTTAAGATATTTTGGCTGTATAAATATATATTTGCAACTTAATTTTTTTCTCTCAAAGTTACTGTTTGGTACTGATCATTTTTATAATCTAAATACATAAAACGCACATCGTGATTTGGTTACACTGTTTTTCTTAAATTTCTTTTTTACATCTATTTGTTTGTTAAACTTGTTCAACAGAGTACTGCAGTGTAACTTAGCTGCAACTAAAATTCGACGTTTTGAAAAGTAAAAATGTTTTGTGCTTACTGGAAACTCCATTTGCACAGCACACATCAACAATCACACCCAAAACACAAAATGGAGCAAAAGAGATCTCACCAAAATCTATTACATATGAAAACATGAATACACTTTGGCCGAGTTACCAATGTCTGTCTCTTATGCCGTAACAGACTGGTATCTCTCTGTCTCCATTTTAACCATTCCTCTATTACCTCTTCATGAGGCCCACTACTGGTGGACTGGCCTCCATGTAGTGCTCTAGGCCTGCCAGCAGAGGGTTGGCAGTGCCACCCAGTGCCACAGCCTCATTCTTCATTTCACCCAAGCTCCCCTGCTCACAACTTTACACACACATACATACACAAATAAATACCCATGAATATGAGCCTCATAACATCAGGGCTCATGCTGATTATTACATTATATAAACCTAAACAAGTTTGGCACAGTTTTGTTCCATATTAGTAATAACATAAAAGCATACAACATAAAAATAAGTAATATATTTCAAATACATTTATTTCATACTAAGTATAGTTTAAATCTATTAACATATTTACTGACATATCACTCGAAAATTTTAATTAAACTTTATTTGGAGTACTACTTGTGTACAATGCACATTTCATAATATTACGCATAAAATGTGTTTTAATGTCACTACTGATGAGAATTGTAAGATCTTTGAATAATATCGGTCTTTAAATGCAAGATATGTAAAGTGTACCTAAAGTATACTTGCAATAGCTCCACTTTAGCACAATCAAATATACTTAAGTATATCTTTAGTTGGACTTCAGCACTACTTCCAAACAATTAAAATGCATTAAGTACAAAATTAGTTGTCCAGTTTAGCAGACATTAAGTATACTATTTTAGTTTACCGAAAGTACAATTGCAGGGTATTTTTATTAAGTACATAAATATGTAAGTGTATTTGTAGTATACTGAGCATGAAATAAATGTATTTCAAATACATTTTAGTATATTCATTTTTCACTAGGGTAGGTAGATATGTTTATGTTTCTTAAGATATTTTGGCTGTATAAATATATATTTGCAACTTAATTTTTTTCTCTCAAAGTTACTGTTTGGTACTGATCATTTTTATAATCTAAATACATAAAACGCACATCGTGATTTGGTTACACTGTTTTTCTTAAATTTCTTTTTTACATCTATTTGTTTGTTAAACTTGTTCAACAGAGTACTGCAGTGTAACTTAGCTGCAACTAAAATTCGACGTTTTGAGCTTACTGGAAACTCCATTTGCACAGCACACATCAACAATCACACCCAAAACACAAAATGGAGCAAAAGAGATCTCACCAAAATCTATTACATATGAAAACATGAATACACTTTGGCCGAGTTACCAATGTCTGTCTCTTATGCCGTAACAGACTGGTATCTCTCTGTCTCCATTTTAACCATTCCTCTATTACCTCTTCATGAGGCCCACTACTGGTGGACTGGCCTCCATGTAGTGCTCTAGGCCTGCCAGCAGAGGGTTGGCAGTGCCACCCAGTGCCACAGCCTCATTCTTCATTTCACCCAAGCTCCCCTGCTCACAACTTTACACACACATACATACACAAATAAATACCCATGAATATGAGCCTCATAACATCAGGGCTCATTAACAGTTAGATTAAATTACTAATCAAGCTGTAAAAGAAATCTAAGTAGATGGGTTTGATCAAAATAATTTTAGAACAAACATTTTGTCCACTAACAGGCTATGGTAATGCATTATTGATGTATTTATGTAAAAATCACAACATTCACAGATTTTGTCCTTTTATTCCTAGAACTGACACTTGTCATATGTCTTATTATGTAGAAACCTAACAGCAGAAATTCCTTGGAGAAACTCTTGCTGTAATATACACTACATACTATGACATAGTATACATAATATATACAGTATGTATTAAAAAAAATTGAATTTATAATGGAAATAGTAATGTCTTCAAATAAGCCTTTCGTTTTAATTAGCATTACCTCCATAAAATCACGTAAAATAAAAGTCATTGGAGTGTGTCTGGGTTCTACCACCTTAACAGCTGGCAAGGTTGGCGGCTTTTTTTGTTGGCCTGCCAATTGTCCATTCAGTCAAGTTTTCCATAGGAATGAGTCAGAGATTCATGGAAATTCATTCTGTGTTTATCCAGCCAAGCAAGTACAAGGAAGGATCTTCGTATAATAAGTCTTGTGTTTTGCTTTGATTGTGAAACATAGTAAGACGAGACATAAATGAGTGAGCAAGTATCAGAGTCCAATGTAATCATTGGCTTCCAGTTTCAAGACTAATATAAACTTGCGCCATTCTTTGTGTCCTCAACTCCCAGGTGAGTTCACAATTTTATGGCACATTTCATTGAACTTTCATAGAAATTAAAGTTCTGTCAGCATTTACTCACCCTCATGTTGTTTCAAACCTGTATGAGACATTTTTCAAAATATCTGCTCTTGAAAGTCATTTCAGATTGGAATGATATAAGGGTGAGTAAATGATGACAGAAAATGCCTTTTTGAATACCATACCTTTAATTACAGTAGACACATTAATCATCATCACCTTTTTAATCACTCTCTTTTTGTTTCCTGAATGCAAAATAGTTTTTTTGTTTACCCGTATGCAAAACATAACTGTGGTTATAAACCGTGGTGGAAAAAATTTGCATCAGATGTGAATCAAAAAGAATTTCAAAAGAATCAGGCATTCTGTTGAAACTTGCCCCTTGCTAAATGTCAAATGACAGATCTACTCCTCAGCGCACAGTTCCCTGAGGTAATCAATGTGTTTGTATGAGAGAGAGAAATTGTTGAGACCTACCCAAGCGAGGTTCCCCAGGTGAGATTGAGCTCAGTGCTGAGGTCGAGGTCTATGCTGGGCAGCAGATCATGAGGAAACTCTAGTTCCTCTTTATCCTCCTCTTCCTGTCTTCTCAGCTTTTCTTCCTCGTCAGCAGACACCTGTGGCTCTGCTTTGACTGAATCAGTGTGGACAGATCCGTTCTCTGCAGTGGCACACTTCTCCTTCAGTGTGTTCACCTTGTCAGTGTGTACTGCAGCCTGAGAAACACAACAAAAGTAGTTAGAGCACAGACCGGTGCAATCTGTTTTTAATTAGAGATCCGTAAATCACTCACACCAGCTGCACACATCTAAAATGTGTGAACAAGTTAGTTGTTCAAACCGAGATCACGTTCCTTCAAACGTACAAGGTTTGACATTTTACATCAAAGAAAACACACCCACCATGCCAATAAAAATTAAAATACTGAGGTGATTTCAGACTAGGCTACACACCCTGATCATTTATCACTGTGCCATCAGAACTTTTAGACAAATCTTGAAAGAATAAACATGTTTTCAATTAATCCACCACACCAGCTGGGTATTAAGGATCAGTTCAGGCATGTTCTTATGCCCTTTTGCACACATGAATAAGCAATGTTACAAAAAAAACAACAACATATGGTTGTAAACTAAAAAGGTAATTCTAGGTTTATAGTAAATTTCCACAGAATTCATTTACTTATTGTTTCATTTAAAATGAGGCAAAATGAAGCGATTGTTCTGACTTTACTGGTTTTACCACTATTCTTTCCAGATGAAATAAGATAGCCTCATTCAGCTGAACTGCATTAACCACAGAGAACTTTAAACACAGATTAAATGCATTCTGGAGCATTTTGTAAAAGGCCAGGCCAAACAAACACATGTAAATCCATATACATGGATTATTTACTATATGTAATTTTTCATTTTAATTTAACTTATGCATTTAGCAGACACTTTTATCCAAAGCGACTTACAGTGCATTCAGGGTATACATTTTTTTTTACCAGTATGTGTGTTAAATTAAACCCACAACCTTTTGTGCTGCTAACACAATGCTCTACCACTGAGCCACAGGAACACTATTTTTTATAATATATTTTTTTAATATATATTTTTAAATGCATTTCATTTAATTTATAAATGCATTTGTCACACTGCAAGCCTATTTAATTTACCTAGGTGATTAAAATGGTGAAAATCAACAAAAAAACACTTTATTTTCCTGCTCACGTTAAGGGTAGCAACAGCAGATCATCCACATATAAAGTAAAGACAAATAAAATTAAATAAAATAGATTGTCAAATATCCAACTATGTTTTAAAGTCCTTAACTGGAGCAAACACAAATAATTATATAATATTTGATCATTTTAGACTCTCATTTGCATAATAAACACTATGATTTAAAATAAGAGAGAATCTTACCCCTCCAAAACAGACACACACACTCACTCATTTTATTCATACACACACTCATTGATCAACAGTATGATTCACAGGCAAGTCTTGTGCAGCAAAAGAGGATCGTGTTGCAGGCTCTCTGGAACACAGGCCACATTAGCGATGCATTACACAGAAGCCTCATATCCATTAACATCAATCACATCTTTGACTCCTGTACACACATCACATGCACTTGATTCACATGGGTGCACTGCATTCCCACCTCTGCTGTAGGTTATGTGTTATACACTCTCAGAGCTTTAAGACTATAAGAGTGAATTCATGCATTGATCTACATTCCCAGGCCTGAGCACAAACACCACTCAATTTGAATCAGGTCAGAGTATCAAATGAAATGCCCTGATCTAAGTCCATACAAACTCAAGGGTTCAGATTCCATTAGCTTATTCAGAGTTTTAATTTGTTAACCAAGCCTGGAATAAACACAAGGATTTCAAATATTAGTAACATTTAGTAGTGACAGATGGCAGGATTTTCGACAAAAAAAACCCAGCAAAACCCCTGAAGAACAGGATGCACTTCACACACCGGCGAACAATCACTGTACTGTATCGCTGTATCCCTAAATCTCTCTCCCTCGGCCCTTCATATAAAAACGACCCAGTGTCTGCTACACTACTCCAAAAGTCCTGTCATCAACCTGAAAATCTGTTTACACACCCGCAGACAACAAGTCAAGGCCGTATTATGTTATTTGAATGGGGTACAGAAGTGTGAGACCACTAATAAAAATGCTTGTTAAAAAATCTTTATTTTTCTTACATATCATTAATTACCTAGAAATATTAAATAACAATTAATATTTACATTTGAAAATTTGAAACATTTTTAACATTTCAATTTCACTGTTTCCAGGTTTAATGGCATTTAGAATCAGTGTTTGTATCTATTTTTAACTTTTTTTAACTTATTATTATAAAGCCATAATGCTTTACATACTACATAAGAATGCCCTAACCATGAGCATACATCAAATACTTAAATCTTTGATCTTAAATCTTTGAGCATAATCATTCCTAATCACTGAAATTTAGTTCAAGCTGTAAGACCACATTTATT